ATTTGAATTATTGCAAAATCTGCACCTCTTCTGTGGCAAATTTTAATTTCATAATGATTCTTACTCCGTGAAGTCAAGCAGCAGAAGTTAAGTGACAATATGCAAATACTACTGGCCCATTTTGGGGTGAACTAAATATACAAGACTAGTTTTACACGTCACTGTTTATAACACATGTCATGGGGCATAAATTAAGAGTATACCCACTTCTCCAGGCACCACTACACCACTGCTTATAACATGACCATAAAAAGCTCAATACCTGAAACTTTGTCGCAAGCGTTCAGGCATTCGTTGAGCACCAGGTAGTTGTTGCGGTTTGGTTTGCAGCCTCCAAACTTGAACTGCTCACATTTCTCTGTGACGGCGTTGTAGTGCCAGCGTGGGAAAGAGCCTCGACACGGACCCTCCTTCTTCGGCACCAGACAGTGATCTGATGGGAGGAAAAACAGCCATTTTAGTCACAACAAAAGTTATGCTTGCAGCTTGACGTAACATTTTATTTATTCTTCCAGACAGACAGAAAACACCAAAAGTATGATATAATTTGCATGCAATACTATATTTAAAGTCTTCTGAAGTAACGGTTTGTCATTGCACATCTATGCTTCTATAGAATGCCATGACAAATTGCATGAGAAAATGCTATTAAGTTTCGCGAGCCTCTGCGGTGAAGTTATGACATTTTAGAACTCCAAATGAAACCATTTAAGAGACAATGTGCAAAACACATGACAATAACATTAGAGCATCAATGCAATTAATGTCAGTATCGAATGTCATATCAATGCATTTATTTTTATGGGAACTCAAATTAAAGCTTCATTACTTGAACAATACACTGTCAAGATAGGTTTAAGTCTTGATTTATGACTCAATAACAGTGACGATGTGAAAGAGCAAGCAAATACAAATATAACGTCAATTTAGTAAAATAATGCATGTGTTGTTAGGTCACAAACGGCATTCCTGAATGTATTTTAAAGTCGATTCCCATACTGTACTGCTCATTTACATAATCGTGTGCATGAACACATGAACTACGTGAAATATGAACGCTCATTCAAACAGAAAACTGAAACTATCACTTGCATTACACAACACAAGACAAAACACGAACATGCTGTTGATTTAGTTATAGTAACTAACGTCTCGTCCCTTAGAACGTACAAATGAAAAAAACTTGTATTGTACGTTTAGTTCTGTATGCACTGTATGTGTGTTTGTTTTCTGTCTGCATGTTACAGATGCTGCTGATAAACATGCATTTAAGTCTTGGAAAAACATTTATTAATCTTTAATGAGCTTCTTCACAATATTTTCTCACCATCAATGATGAGACAAACACTGCGCTTTGAACACAAAGGCAGCAAAACCAAACACTATAAATAATGCAAATGCAACATGATTAATTCAAATGAATACAAAGCCATGTAAATATCTGTTCGGCATTAAAACTAATAGAATTTGTCTTATCTCATATGGATTTTAGATTTACATTTGACAGCTACATCAGATCAGAGCGGTTTCACAAACGCTCAATGACCAGAACAACCTCATTCTCTGTGAAACTCCCACCGCAAAACCTGCGCTCCAGTTTGTGAAACACTCAAGAAAATGGCCTCTCGCAAGCTCAAGGGGTTTTTATGTTTCTACTAAAACCATGAAACATCAAGCAATCGGTCACAAAACTACAACTGAATAATTTCCATTGAAAATAAATCATTAAACTGCCGATTTGACAGTTTCGACCAAGCAAAGCTGAAATTAGCTGAAGCTCCTTTTAATAGGAAATATGAGGAAAAATTCAGTTTTTAGAAAACAGAAAAGCACATTCTGGGTTAACAGAATAAAACCATTTATGCATTAAAGTCTGACAAATCCTGGTAAATGGTTAATCCGTGTATTTTTAAGGCTGCTTCAAAACCTGTTGGACCAGAACTCATTTCAGGTCAACAGTGCATGTGAATTTCATTATGATAAATCAGATTAAATGACTGAGAAACACTTATCAGAGAACATGACAGCAATGACCTATTACTTTAACGAAAGCTGTTGCTTTTAATATCATAATGACACATACGGGAATGAACATTATCTCTGACGAATGTCGAGAACATCACACTTATGTACATCTGTTTTTGAGTTGATAATTTTGGCAATACTGACTGAAAAACTCAAGTTTAATGAGGCCTACAATCAGCCAGTTCCAAAAAGAAATACAAAACCTGTGCAAATTGAAAGAGACGCCACCTACTGGCAGTTTTAGATGATAAAAATATGAAATCCTAAATTTGGCGATAATATGTGACCCTGAACCACAAAACAAGACTTAAAGAGTCAATTTTTTAAATTGAGATGTGTGCATGTGCATAAATGAGCTTTCCATTGATGTATGGTTTGTTAGGATAGGACAATATTTGGCCGAGATACAACTATTTGAAACTCAGTTTAATGAGGCCTACAATCAGCCAGTTCCAAAAAGAAATACAAAACCTGTGCAAATTGAAAGAAACGCCACCTACTGGCAGTTTTAGATGATAAAAATATGAAATCCTAAATTTGGCGATAATATGTGACCCTGAACCACAAAACAAGACTTAAAGAGTCAATTTTTTGAAATTGAGATGTGTGCATGTGCATAAATGAGCTTTCCATTGATGTATGGTTTGTTAGGATAGGACAATATTTGGCCGAGATACAACTATTTGAAAATCTGGAATCTGAGGGTACAAACAAATCTAAATATTGAGAAAATCATCTTTAAAGTTGTCCAAATGAAGTTCTTAGCAATGCATATTACTAATCAAAAATGAA